GCTTTGTTCATCAAGACAGCCCGCCTCCTCCCGCTTTCTATTGGTCAAACGAGGCTATCCTTCAAGCACGGGTTCTCGCAGCTATTGGCCACAGACAATGTCCATCAGGGCGTCTCCCAGCTGATGTCTTCCTATTGAGCGAGAAACCTGTCGCTCAGCGCTGGGGCCCGCCCCCTCGCCAGTCCCATTGGTCGGAAGCTCTCAGAAGGGGTTCAACCTTCTTCTCCCGTTTGCTGGCAACCCTGTCACTCAGGGAGGGGGCTGCGTGTCTGCCCCGCCCAGCTCCGTCTGACACGTGATGCTGAAGGCTCAGCCCCATTGGCGAAGAGCCCTGTCACTCAGGCACGCCCCTGCCTCTTTGCTCCCCCATTGGCTGGCCCGCCCACCAGTCCGCCATGGCAAAGCCACGCCACCCATTGATCCGCCTGGCCGCCGCTCAACATGAAACCCCGCCCTCCCCAGCTTTCCTTCCCATCCTATTGGCCACCTCCCCAAGCCCCCTGAACTGACAACATCCACGCCACCCCCTCACCGATTGGCTGACTCCGCTGCCCATCACCCACCACAGCCCACCCCCTCCGGCCTCACAGTAAACATCCTGCGGGCAGCAGCAGGGCACGCTGGGAGGGGGTGGGGCTTGAGCAGCCAGGCCCCGCCCCCAGACACGTGTGCGGGGGGGAGGGGGACCCGGGGCTCAGTTCCCCCCAGTACAGGGGATTCCGGGGGCCCAGTTCCCCCAGTATGGGGGATTCTGGGGACCCAGTCCCCTCCAGTATAGGGGAGAGCCAGGGCCCAGTTCCCCCAGTACGGGGGATTCTGGGGACCCAGTTCTCCCAGTATGGGGGATTCTGGGGACCCAGTCCCCTCCAGTATAGGGGAGAGCCAGGGCCCAGTTCCCCCAGTACGGGGGATTCTGGGGACCCAGTTCTCCCAGTATGGGGGATTCTGGGGACCCAGTCCCCTCCAGTATAGGGGAGAGCCAGGGCCCAGTTCCCCCAGTACGGGGGATTCTGGGGACCCAGTTCTCCCAGTATGGGGGATTCTGGGGACCCAGTCCCCTCCAGTATAGGGGAGAGCCAGGGCCCAGTTCCCCCAGTACGGGGGATTCTGGGGACCCAGTTCTCCCAGTATGGGGGATTCTGGGGACCCAGTCCCCTCCAGTATAGGGGAGAGCCAGGGCCCAGTTCCCCCAGTACGGGGGATTCTGGGGACCCAGTTCTCCCAGTATGGGGGATTCTGGGGACCCAGTCCCCTCCAGTATAGGGGAGAGCCAGGGCCCAGTTCCCCCAGTACGGGGGATTCTGGGGACCCAGTTCTCCCAGTATGGGGGATTCTGGGGACCCAGTCCCCTCCAGTATAGGGGAGAGCCAGGGCCCAGTTCCCCCAGTACGGGGGATTCTGGGGACCCAGTTCTCCCAGTATGGGGGATTCTGGGGACCCAGTCCCCTCCAGTATAGGGGAGAGCCAGGGCCCAGTTCCCCCAGTACGGGGGATTCTGGGGACCCAGTTCTCCCAGTATGGGGGATTCTGGGGACCCAGTCCCCTCCAGTATAGGGGAGAGTCAGGGCCCAGTTCCCCCAGTACAGGGGATTCCAGGGGCCCAGTTCCCCCAGTACAGAGGACACCCAATCCCCGCCCAGTCCCCAGGGCCTGTTCCCCCAGCGCAGGGGGAACCTGACCCGCCCGGAGGGGCCTGGGCTGCCCCCCCAGCTCGCCCCCCCAGCTCACCCCCCCAGAGGCGGCAGCACAGACGCCGGGGCAAAGCCTTTATTGCCCC